ATATTATAATATGATCCCCATATACCCATATTCTATCTACTTAAGGGACTATACCCCTAAAGGGACCCTACAGTTCCTTCTGGTATCAGAGCTCAAAAGCATGAAATCGCATGAGGATCCGACAAGTCCAGCGCCAGCACGCCTCCCCCTTGCGGCGGAGGGCTTTTCAGACCCTGGCGGCCTACAGGCAAAAGCGTGCCTCAGCTTCGCAGGGATGATGGTTTAGGGTTGCGGGGAGTTGGGGTTTCGGATGTAGGGACTAGTGTTTCAGGATTTGGGCTTGGAGAGGCCAAGGCGTACCGCTTCAAGGCATTTCGCACAGCGCTGCGACAGAAGCTGAAAGTCGAAAGGTTGCCGACATCGGCACATGCGTAAAATGCATGAAATGATGGTTGCATGCCTGGGTTTTCCTGGACGCTCTTGCCCACTCCAACTAAACACTGCGTGCGCCCCAGCTTGGCTGTTGGGCTGCAGACTACAGAAACAGAAGAGTTTCTCAAGGATTCATGCAAGGCTCATTCGGCCAGCGCTCTGGTGCATGAAAGGAAAGAGGCGCCTCACCGCCTTGCAGTCTGTACCGTGTGTGTGATGTAACACACCAGTTGCATCTGAATGTGGTACCAGAAGTGCAGGATGATGCAGCGGCAGACCGGACCGGAGGAAAGGCTGCAAGAGCAGGACCATGGAGAACACATGCCATGGTTAGTTACGGCTAGTTCTGCCGTCAATCCGAGTATGACGATGGCGGGTACGACGCCGTACTTCACTTGAAAAATTGACAATCGGTGGCAACGCACGGGGTTGGCCCGTGGCGTGGGCGTGGGTCGTGCGTGGGTGGCGGACACTCGCCAGCCGGATTCCAAACGCCATGAGACTGGGCACCCTGGCAAAGTTTCAATCCAAAGCAAGCCACATCGCTGGGCGTTTAGCTCCACCACTGGAAGCGTGAAACATTTCCAGTACTGAAAGTATGCAGCCGGAACAAGCATTTCTGACAATTCATTGAATTTGAATCTGAATTGTAGATTGTACCTGAGAAGGGGTGAATATCAACCTGATTGTGAAGCTCTGGCTCAGCGTACGTGGAGCAGTTCCAAACTTCAACCTATTGAACGCCCGCACCTTCCCAACTCTAGAACTAATGTAAGGAGCAGCCATACTTGAGACATGAGGTTTCAAGAGACTCCCTTCAAACGCTCAAACATTGCAAGGATCAGTGCAGTGGACAGTTGACAGGGCTCCTGGCCCCGCAAAACAATATCAGGAAGCCCAGGGCCTGAAATCTGCAACCCTCCACCCGACAGCCTGAATCCCAAGCTTAGACCATGGAACGCAATAATCCAATCCTCATCGTACTGGCGGCTAGTAGGGAATGATGCGATGGAACATAAGGAGTATAATCAGGGACAGTAGAGGGACTATTAGAAGAACCATTTCGACATTTCCAACAAGCCGTCAGCTTCTAAAAGGCAATATTTCCCACTTGCTAGTAGTATGAATAGTAATAGTCTGGGAGAAAATTCTCATCCCAGAACAGCGAAAAGAGCAGCGCCGTCGACTGGCTGTCCGCTTCCGCCGGCAGGCGCTGCTGCGACAGGCCAAGTTCCCAAAGATTTGCCAAGGTTTTGTGGAGATTACACAGGGATGTGATGAGCAGGCGCTCCGGGCAAAGGGATAGCAGTGGGGATAACGCATGGATTTGTAAAGGGATTCTGTCAGCTTCCTCAACATGTTTGTTTCTTTTAGGTAGTGGTCTTTCCATTGCTGTTATTACGGTTGGATGGTCGCTCTACTATGGTTTGCTTTGCAAAAAGAGTCAGGGCGTATCAGTTAGGGAGAGGGGACCGATACAGCTCCGACACGCCTCCGACACACAACCGACACACGACCGACACGCCTCCGACACGCCTCCGACACACGACCGACACGCCTCCGACACACCACTGACGCGCGACCGACGCGCCTCCGACACACAACCGACACACAACCAACACACGACAGACACGCCTCCGACACGCCTCCGACACACGACCGACACGCCTCCGACACACCACTGACGCGCGACCGACGCGCATCCGACGAATCACTGATGCGTGCCCTGGGGGGGTTATTCGAAACATATCCGGGACTGGACAGAAGAGCTGCGGGACTTGTTTTGAGATGGCTGTGGCTATCCGCTGCTACCCTTTGATACGCCGCGTTGAGGAGTCCGATCAACAATCCCGTCCAAATAGGCAGTGTTGTGGGTTGCTGTTCTCGGGCGCTCTATCCTTGCAGCGCGATCCCAAACTCTTCTTCCCCTCCCCCCGACCCCGTCCCCTCAACCCCTCGCCAACCCCTCCAACCAACCCCTCAGCCACAGACTCCCCTCCCTTCCCGCCATGCCATAACTCCTGCAATGAGCTTCATTTTTTGTTAACTGCTATAGGTCTCCGTGCTATCTCATATGAAATTAGATCG